GACAGACGCACAACGCAGCGAGTGAGCCACATGCAAGCCAGCAGGTTGAACCGAAAGCATCCGCACCTCAACGTTGTCAGCGGCCCGATTGTGCCAGAGGAAGGCTGGATTGATTAAGTTCTGATGCTGCCCGTGTGGAACAGCGAGAAGGATTTAAATATGTTCAGCTCTTTGTATCAAGCTTAGTGACTGGGCTCACTGGCAAGCCTCCTAAAACAGGAGGGGTGTTGTGGGGGGGGGGAGCACATTGTTGTGCCCAGGAGGGATGTTTCACTGTGTAAACATCTGATTGACTAGTTTGTGCTGCTTTCCTGCCTCCTCTCATCACGTCTGACATTTCCATGCCTTCATAAATACCTGCGACACGCTTTTTTTTAATGTCTGTTTTGCTGCAATCTGAAGTGCCGTTGTTTTGTTGTTGTTTTGTAATGCTGGGTTAAAGAGGCAGCATAAACCGGGCCGAGAATGATTTAGACTCAATTTTATGCATTCAGTGAAGGTTAAAGATCTAAGTGGGAGAGATGTATTTTCTCAGAGTCCAAATGGAGAAGCTGGGTGTTTCTACACCGTTACACTTGTAGGTATTGTTTTTTGTTTTGTTTTTTTCTGGGCAGGCGTGATAGTTAAAAGTCATTGCTGTAATCTGTGAGTCAGCGGGGCGTGTCCCATCAGACGGTGAAACTGCAACCTGTCGAGTGTGTTTTCAATTTTAGTTCTGTTGGGTTTTTTTCTTTCACTGAGTTTATCATCGTCGTTTACCAATGTGTGTATTTTCTTCTGGAGGTTAACGAGCCTCCAGAATTATATTAGGATGTAGCTCATTTCAGAGAATAAATGTAACTTCAGCTATTTTAAAACTTTTATTTTTTATTTTTTTTGTATTCCAGCTCTAAACCCTCAATCTTCCGTTGACTTAAGAGGCCAATTAGTCTCACATCTGTACTCCTTTCCCACCCGGAGCATGCTCCGGAGCGCTGGCCCAGAGCTTGAATATCATTAAGCTGGAAAAAAAACTTGTTAATACACTTCTGAGTGAAATTAGTTTTTTTCTTTCTTATTTTTTTTATCTTTTACCCCTCTTACATGTTTTTTTTTTTGGTGAAAATAAAATTTTGGAGGGAGGGGGAGGCAAAAAAAAAAAAAAGTGGATTTGATGAGTTAATGAAGAGATATTTTGGATCTTCTTTCCGTCACAGAATCGATGGAGATAACATCGTCAGGGCCTCAGACCATTCAGAAAGCGGAAGGGGAATCCGTCAACCTGGGCTGCACCTTCACGCCGGCTGCAGAGGACAAAGGAGAGCTGGACATCGAGTGGTCCAACGTCAGCCCGGACATGACTCAAAAGGACAAGCTGGTGAGCCGCAGTCGGGGGTGAGGTGAAAACAAAGCCTCGGCTTGTGTGTTAAAGGGCTTATCTGAGATCTTTACAGCCTGCTCACAGCAAAACTTTGCATCTCAGCTCTTGTCTTACGCAGCCGGAAAGACGCACAACTACGACCCGGAGTTTACCAGCAGGATGAAATTTTTGACGGAACCGAACCAGGGAGACGCGTCCATCACCATCTCGGGCCTGAAGGCCTCTGACACGGGCACTTATCAGTGTAAAGTGAAAAGGGCTCCGGGCGTGGACATGAGAAAAGTCACACTGGTTGTGCTGGGTAAGGAGGAACTTCTGCTTTTTTTTTTTACCGGTTTTACCTGTTTATTGTCCCTCTGTTTGTCGCCGTCATTCACCTGGAATGTCCCAAGTTCTTACTTCACACAGGCTCACACAGGCCTGCGTGCTTCTCAAAACCTCCCAAATGAATTCAGGGAATTACAGTCAACATGTTGCTACATCACAACTACAAACTTCAGTGTGTCTGGCGATTTTATGCGATGACCAACAACAAATTTCGACGTGAATGTGGCTTCAAGTTGGAGTTCCTCCAACATTTGCCGCACAAATTGGAAAAGTGTAATACATTCAACCACCTTGACTCTGACGACCCCAAAGGAAAATCCACTGCTCTCAAATCAAGTAGTTGAAAACCTTCAAGGTTCTTTTAGACAACATTGGTAAACGTACAACTTGATGAAGACGAAGGAACTCAACAGACGGGTCTGGAAGAAAGTCTGAGAGACGTTTAAAGTAGAGTTGGGTTATAAAACATCCCAACAACTGCAAACCTGGACTGGACAAGAGTCACAGATGAAGTCAAAAAGTGCTGCAAAAATCCTTTGTGGGGCAAAAAACCTCTGGACATTATCCTGGTTACAGAATATGGATTGAACTAAATACAAGCCAACAGTACAGGACAGGCTATCTCTTCTGTGAGGACTACGACCCGAAACAGCCTGAGCTACAATGAAATGATTTGGATCAAAGTCTGTTCCGTCAGACATAAACCCAGTTAAAGATTTGTAGCAAGAGTTGAAGGCAAATGTTTGCAGTTGCACTCCGTCCAGTCCGACAGGGTCGGAGTTACTTAAAGAAGAAAAATTCACAAAATCTTCAGTCTCATTTAAGAAATACTTTATTCATCCTGAAAGAAAATTAAATATAGTAATTCATGTCGTTCAAGCATCTTCACAGAGTTGTTGTGGGCGGGATGGACCTCCAGGAGCAGTCGGTATCCTTAAAACAAAATGTTAAAAAAAAAAAAAAACACATAAATGACAAAGCTCTATTTCTGGCAGCAGAGGTGATATTTCACCATGTGACATGAATCGGTTGTTGGCAAACTCCGCTAATCCACCTCATTTGCTTTTGCCACTCCCCTTTAAATCTCAGTTCTGTTCAACTCCTGATTTAAGTTTGGGTATTACTTGAGCTTTTGAGATGTTACTCAGCTGCTCCCAGTTGTAAAAACAACACATTGTTGCAAAAAAAAAAGCAAAAAAACAGAAGAGCAGAAATCATTCCAGTGGAACAGCGTCCAAAACGATCCAAACAATAACAAACAAAACTCTAAATGTGACACTCCCGGAGTGCTGACACTCCCGGAGTGCTTCCAGCGTCGTAGGCTCCACAACGGCGTGGTGAAGACGTGCTCCAAAAGACCTGGAGCTTTAAATGCTGCAACAGGTTGTTCAGCAAAGCATAGACTCAGGGCAGCTTCACACTTAAACAATACTTTTACGCAAAACCGCAAACAAAATACTTGGAGGTCCGTGGCTCTGACTTGCGGAAATGTGTCAAAGAAGTTTAGGGTTTGGTGATGCTTCTGGAAGACCTGAATGTATTTGGTCTCATCCTCAGTGCCCCCCTCCACGCCAAAGTGTTGGGTTGAAGGAGGTGAGGAAAAGGGAGCCACGGTGTCCCTCCGCTGTAAATCCTCCAAGGGATCCATTCCTCTCACATACGTGTGGACGCGAGAGACCGGAGGCGCGATGCCGGCCACTGCGACGCAAGGTATGCAGACCGACAGGTAACGGCAGACGTTATTGTTTGGTTTAGGTGTGTCCTGAGACGCCTTGCCTTTCATTTAGACGGAGGTGGAGAGCTTCTGATAAAGAACCACACGGACAGCAACACCGGGACGTATGTGTGTGCGGTGAAAAATCCAGTCGGACAAGCAGAGTGCAAATACAACCTGCGTGCATACAACCGTACGTCAATGAAATCACTGTGCAAATTTTACTCTGAACCTGTGGATATCCCAAAGCTACGTTTTAATTTTGATGCTGTTTTTGCCAGAGTTCTCATGTGAAATAATTTTTAAGAAATTCCATGTAAGCCTCTTGTGGGAGCTGGATTTTAAGGCTTCACTGACGTCTCTCTTCCAGCTACCAATAAAGTGGGTGTCATAGTTGGTGCGGTGATAGGTGCTCTGCTGCTGTTGCTCCTCCTCTTGCTCCTCATCTGGCTTCTCATCATCTGCTGTCAGAAGAAGCGCTACCAGAAGGAGGCCGCAAATGAAATTAGGTATTTTGTCACAGCCGGCGAGCGCTTCGGTCCCCGATCGCAGCAGCAACTAATCGAGATTTGCCTTTTTTTCCCTTTCTCTCATAGGGAGGATGCCCCTGCTCCAGAGAGCAGACCCTCCAGCAGGCAGCCAAGCAGGAACTCCAGTTTCCAATCGATGGCAGGGTACCGTACTCACCAGGGGGTACAGTACTCTTCTGTAAGGGGTCATCTGCCCAGTGTCCACGAATCGGGTCCCATCTACACCGGCAGCAGCAACCCGCCAAGCATAGCAGGGGACAGAGCAACTTCTCTGAAATATGATCAGCGATACGGATATGCGGTTTAGCTGCGAGTGTGCTTTTAGGAAGGCCAAAACTGTACAAAATGTAAATTATGAAAAGCCATGTGAAGGGAAAAATACGATGTATAATATGCAAGTTACTCAAAGTGCAATCCCAGTGGGAGCGCCACACTGTGACTCTCGTCTGCGTTCATATGAAGGACAGGTTCTTGTCGTTTAAGTCGCTATTGCACAAATTTTAGCGGAAACTTGATGTAAAATGTATGCAACAAGCATTTGAATAATTCATTAAGGTGTTTTTACCTCCAGCATACAAAAGTATTGTATGATTGTGATACTGTTTTATTTTTAAATATGTAAAGATTAAAAAAATGTATCTTTGCACATTGGTTGGAGCTCCCACTGTCTCAGATGACTATGCACCAGAGAGCAACCTTTGAAACCAAAACTGAATGAGCTGAGACGCCGACAGTTTTCAAAGGGAGATCCAGACTGGAGGCTGAGATAAGATGTCAACTGCAGAAGAAAATCTATTGTTACAATTCTACATTTTCCACAAAGTGATAGTCAACCTAAAATCACAACGTTTGGTCAGTAAATGAGGTTGCTGCAGACCTCCAAACTTCTGTACTTCACATCAGCTCTGGAAGTGTATAGAAATATTTACTGAACATGTTTCAAGGAAAACCTTAGACTGCCATGTGCAATACAAACCGCAGCTGATGTGAATCCTTTCATCGGAAGCGGTGACGCATTATGTACATTTGCATGATTGTTTACAAAATGCCTACTGGCATTTTTCACGCCATGGACCTTGTCGCTATGTTTTCCTCTGCCAGTGACGAAAAAATGATCGTCTGTATGGAGACGATGCTGGCCAGTAGGGAGTGTGTGGGAGTACGAACTTCCTGCAGTCACGTGACTGTTTGGCTTTGGGTTAGGCTTGGGAGAAGCAGGCCAATATTTTTAAATAATGAAATGAATGATGCAGCTCATTGAAACACAAAATTCTCAAATGCACATGTATAAAAACTGTTGGGAATATAAAACTTTTTAGGAAAGTCAAGACTTTGTAAATATGGAGGCTGTTGGTCTATAGTTGTCTGGGATCCAACTCTCGACCTTTGCAACATGCCTTTTCTTCTCTTTATGTCCATTTCCTGCCCTAAACCAAAGTATAAATTGGTTACAATTACTATTATAACATTCTTTGGAAGAACCAAAGAAACCAAAAAGAAGTTTCAAATCCTGACCTCTCAGATTCAGCAAGGGTAAAAGACAAAAAAATAAATAAATCTAAGCTTTCAAACTCAAAGTGAGAAAACAGACACCTCTCAAGTGTGTTTGTGGATCAATGTGAAATTGAACTGTGAGCTACCCGTGAGTCAGAGCAAAAGGATGAAGCGGTGACTGCGGTGCCCAGAATCCTCCTCCCTGTGCGTTTCCCTCTGAATTTTTTTTATCTTTTAAAGCAGAAGAAAGAAGTGCAAAATTGCCTTCTTGTGTTGTTTTTTCTCCAGCGTTTTCCCCCCCAAACAGCCACTAAACTGGTTATTAGTCGACTGCAAACAGTTGCGTCCCTAACCTGCAGCTGACATCTCAGCAGGCAGAGTCAGCACCCTGCCCGCGGTCCAACCTCTTCTGAAACGCCCCGCGATGCTATGATCCCATCTTCAGAAAGTCTGTTGAATTAATAACAGCACCTATGATGGAGCTGGAAGTTTATGGGAACTCAGCAAAAAAAAAAGAAGAAAAAAAAAAACACCTATTTTCCTGCTCCTCTCAAGGGCACAAGCCGTCCTGTGCTAATATGTAGCAGAACTGTTTTATTTGTACTCATTCAACCTTAGCTGCACTGCCGCTGTGTTTGACTTTGTCAACTTTTGTTCTTCTCTTAAAGGTAAGTTGACACTTGGGTAAACCAAAAAAAAAATAATAATAATCCACCATCAGCTAAAATGAAATGTTTTAATAGGAGATAATTACTTTTTCTGTGCCAAAAAAAAAAAAAGAACTGTTATGAAGGAAGACGCCTAATGAAATCCCAGAAATGGCAAAAAGATATTGAGGTTAGAAGCCCAGATCATCATGCTGGCATTGCAAAGAAGAAGAAAAAAAGGCAAATAAATTCAAATTTTTTACCATGGCCAGCGGGAAAAAAAATTGCATTTTATTTTTTGGGCAAAAACAAAAATAACCCTTTTCCCTTTTTGCGTAGTTCATATATATATATGAACTACTATATATGAACTACGCATATATATATATATATATATATATATATAAAGTCTCTACAAGACCTCACAGACTAAACTGAATTAAATTTGAAATGTGACACTGAAAAGTTGTTTGTATGATATATTGTAAAAATATTGGTTCAATGACTTGCAGTGTATCGTACCCTATATATATATATATATATATATATATATATATATACGCGTAGTTCATATATATATATGAACTACGCATATATATATATATATATATATATATATATATATATATATATATATATATATATATAGGGTACGATACACTGCAAGTCATTGAACCAATATTTTTACAATATATCATACAAACAACTTTTCAGTGTCACATTTCAAATTTAATTCAGTTTAGTCTGTGAGGTCTTGTAGAGACTTTATGAGTAAATAGTATGCTACCTGCAATAGCTCTCTCCTAATGTCTATTTGATGAAACATGTTAGATTTCCAGCTGACAGCTGGTCAGTCGTAACTCAACTAGATTTAATGCGACTTCATTTATTTTCACTTCATTTTCAAACAAAACACTTAAAATTTATAAAAGTTAGTGAAAGTTTTTTTTTTTTAATCTTGTTTACTTAAAATCACAGGAAACATTTTTTGTTTGTTTGTTTACATCAATTCAGTTTTCTAATTAGTTAGCCTTGGAAATTATTTCTGCATGAAAACAATTTTCCAACTTAAATATATAGATAGCTATCCCGCTTTGTGCCAAACTTCATACACATCACTCACAACCAAAGGCATTATCTCTACATGATAACACTTTTAGAGGTATAGTGAAGTGAAATTAAAAATAAATGAAAAACAGCTTCATAGTGGAGATCATTTATATGAAGGTTTATCATGTCTTTGTTATTGGAAACTTCACTGAAGTCCTCTGAGGAGCTCTGCCTCTAAAACCTTTAGCACTGGGTCAATCGGCCAACACCCATAAACTTGGCAGCTCTGGCATCCCGTACTTCATTATCAACTGATGACTTAACAATAATCACAAACAGGCTCTTGCTCTTTGATGAGCTTCTAATATTTAGGAAGCATCATAACTTCAGGGTTTTAGAAGTGAGGCTTTCCATCCTGCACAAAAAAAAGAAAAAAACTGGGAAGAAATCAGAGCCCACTTAGAAATGCTCTCTGGTCATTCATGAACCATAATCATTAAGAAAAAGTGGCTGTTCATACGAGATTTTAACAGAGAACAAAAATGACCTAGAGAATGAATTTTAAGAAAGCTGTGATGCGAAGGTTTGTTAAACACTGCTGGCATGAGCTACGGTTGCATTTTTAATTGAAGATATTTCAACATGGCACAAATCTATTTTTTATTTTCAAACTAGTCATTAAATGTCAGACCTCTCTCAGTGTATTCGAACTAAGAATAAAGAGGAACAGTGGCGCCTACTGCAGGTGACAATTACAATTTATAAATCTGTTACCGCTGCTACAAAACTTAAGATTCAGATCATTTAAGAATTAAATAAATTTTGCAGAAATGTCCTTCTGCCGTAGTCGTTTATTGATGACTAAGGGGATTTTCAGCATTTTAGGAGGGACTAGATAAAAACTGACCATCTTGAGCTTGGCCCAAAGTGGTTCACACCGTGGCAGATTTGAGTTTGAGGTAATCTTAATTTCACCAACATTTTTCAACTGACTGAAAGTAGCGTCATTTTTCAACTGACTGAAAGTAGCGTCAGCAGACCTGGCCAGAATCCCAACTTTAATCTGACAGAGAATCTATGGAGGGAGATACAGATCAGTGTGATGGCAGTCTGAGAAATCTGGACCTCATCACCAAAGACAAAATAATCCAAACTTTTATTTTCCGTTTGACACAGAAAATAAAAAATCCTCCGAAGAGATAAAATTGCCTTAAAGAGCTCAGACTTGTTGAGTCTGTCCACAAGCCTCCCCTCCTCCACCGCACGCCGTGCAGTGATAAGGCGCCTGCACATGGACGCCTCCCAAAAGTAATTTTGTGATTATTCGCTTCCCTTATCAGGTAAACAGGTGTGCAGCTGGTCCGCCGCTTTTAAATGTGCGGCGCTGCGGCAGGAACTACCATTTGCATGCGGCGTGTGGTGGACGGCGGCCTGCGGGCCGGCTGAGTCGTCACGCAGCGCTGACGGACGTACAGTAAGGTAGCGAACACCCACAACAAGGAGGAAAATCCTGCCCAGCCAGTGTCCATGCAAAATGGGCCTCACCACTTACCTGAGGCCAGAAGGGATGCAAATTACATGCTTTGATATAAATCCTGGCGAGGGAACAGAGGGCTTCAACTTTAAGAGAAGAATGCTTCGCTTGCAGATAAAACTACTAATTTTAAAAACTTCTAAAAGAAGTGGGAAATAATTCATCTGGAGCTTCATTTGAGGTAAAAAAAAATTATGTATTTTGCAAACATTTATTGCCTTATTTAAGCTTGATTTGCACGTTACTGTCTAAATTTCAGATGAAAGCGTAATGGAAGACGTTATCAAAACCTATTTGGGTCTGTTTTCTGTATTTCAAAAGCCGAGTGAGAGAGTTTTGTCCCAAGGCGCCCTGACAGTGACTGTGACCAATTTTATTCTGTCACACCAGTGATGAATCGTCTGGTTTGAAGTGTGTGAACCTAATTTTATTTTATTTATTTATTTTTTGCCTCCTTGTCATGTATGTGAACGCAGCGACATCGAGCCGCCGCAGGGTTTCCCCCGCCCGAACCCAACAAGGACGCCTAACGCGGCGTTATTGAATTACTTTCAGGAGTTTACGGCTCCGATGCGTTCCGTTCCGAGATTCCCGATAAGTTCGGAATGAGCAAATTGTCCCTGTGGGTGCTGACGAGCCTGACGGCTGTCGCCACCGTCTTCTTTAACGTCTACATCTTTCTGATGACTCTGTGGAGCCAGACGGGAAAGAAGGACAGGAGTCCCAGCGAAACCATCATCCTGGCTCTGGCGGCGGCCGACGTCACCTACCAGCTGACGTGCTACGCCTGGATGACCCTGGACGAGGTGGACAGCGACTGCCACATCGCGGGGATGTTCTACACTGTCCTGCTGGTGATCATCTCCAGCTTCAAGTTCACCGTCATCTGGGACACGAGCTTCCTCACGTTCTACTACAGCACCAAGCTGGTCAGCACACCCAACCGCTGCTACACCCAAATCCAAGCCGCCATCCTCAAGCACGCCACCCTGGCGGTTTGCGTCATCCCGCTGCTCGGCCTGGCCACCTGCATGCCGATTCTGGTGGTGTTCCACATGGCCAACCACACCCAAGAGGAAGCCAACAATATGGACTGTGGGGTTCTGCTGCCAGAGACGACCGCCGGGCGGGTCTATGACGTGATCTTCCTGCTCCTCTCGGACGTGCTGCCCGGGATGGTCATGCTGAAGTGCTGCATCTCCATCTCCGTCCACCTGGCCATTCACCTGCGCCACATGAAGGCCAGCACCAACAGCGCCCATCCGCCGAAGCTCGGCTCGGAGATGCGAGTGGTCCGGATGTCCTTGGCCCTGGTGGGGAACTTCCTGATCTTCCTCGCCGTCGACCTGTACGTCAACTACGAGGTCGTGGTGAACCACAAGAACTCCCTGGCCGTCACGCTCTTCATCACGTCCGTCTACACGACCGCCACGGCCATGGTCCTCATCTACGGCAAGAAGACTCTGTGGAAGACGATGATACGCGACATCAACGTCTGTCTGGACGCATATCCGTGTTTGTCCTGCCTGAAGCTGCCCGAGCAAAAATCTCCACCCGGCAGTGCTCCAAAGGTTAAAGAATGACAATGCAGAAGTTATGCCACCTTTCCTGTACTTCTGTCATGTTACAAAGCAGCAAATAACTACAATTATAAATAGCAAAATAAGACAAATACATTTGCTGATCTCTGAAATTTGCTAAAAAACAAAAAGTTTAAAATTTGAGACCAATCTCAGAAATTTTCTAGAAAAAGAAAAACTGGACAACTTTAGACTTTTCAAACTCAGAAATGTCCATTATTATTTTTCTTAAAAAAATTCTGAGATTAATAGACTTTTTCAATGTTTTAACTTTTCAGTTTCTGAAACGGTCACTTTTTCTAGGTTAATATCAAAATTTCTTATTTTCTTAGCAAATTTTGTACCTTTAAACTTAGAAATGTTCTTGTTTTCTCTAGAACATTTATGAGATTAATCTATTTTTTCCAGCTACAATGAGTTTGGTGTCGTGCACAACTGTGCATCAGCAGGCAATGGTAAGAAAACTGTTTGGAAAGCGTTTCTGTCCTGACCCTTTAATTTGAATCCCCCCCAAATAAAATCTAGTTCAACCAAGCTGTCTGTGGGATATATTTTGTAGATAAGAGTTCATCTCCACAGCAACTCTGCAAGCACCTTAGAAGAACATTAGTCAGTTCTGCCCAAAATATTCGAAGAAAGGTCAGAAATCCTTCCGGCTGTACGGCACTGTGGACAAACGCCGACGTGAAAACCAAGCAAAAGCAGAAGCAACCGTGTGGAAGAAGGTGCTCTAGTCACTTTTTAATTATTTTTTGGCCTACATGAAAAAAACCTCCAAAACAAAACACAATATATGGTTGAAAACTAATGATGGAAATGACTCTGATGGTCATGGAATCCATAAATCGAACCAAATGTTTGGTGGAGCTCGTGGTCGGGCTGCTGGTGCGGTGGCTGAATAAAGTTTTGTAGATTTCTGTGTGGGAAATATGTTAAATACCCATCATTTTAATCCCACGCTACAAAAACAACAACAAAAATTCTTTGTTTTGTTCAAGTTATAATGTGACCAAAAGTCAGACTCCATGAAAGGCAGAGCATCTCTGTGCTGAAGGTCTTTTCTCCAAACTGCCTCAGTAATGTCTGACGTCCTGCTGCGTCACAGAGAGCTTGTTAGGGAAGGAACACGCGCGGACCTCCAGGTTACAGCGCCGCGCCTCGCCTTCTCACGACCTTATCTACCTCGGCGCCTTAAGTGTTAATATTTCAGTGGGACAAATAATAGCCAGGCCCGGTAAGTCGTATCTGCGAGCATGGTCGGCTGGACATGACGCAACTCGGTGCCCATCTTAAATGTTAAAAAATACATGCGACCGCGGTGAGAGCACGGAGCGTATTAATAAAACAAGGCAGCGCACAAAACCTGAGGTTCCCACCGTCCCCCTTACTTCTTCTTCGTCCTCCTCAGCAGCTGGAGTCGTCCACACCCTCCGGGAGAGAAAACAGAAAAGTTGATTAAGAACAGATGGGGGCGGAGGGAGAACGCCTCCTCCTCTGCGCGTTGATTGGCTCTTCTTAAGACTGCGCGTGGTTGTCGTTGACAGCCAGGTGTGATTGTGGCTTTAAATGTGTGTGTGTGTTGGATGTGTAGTGAGGAAGCAGAGCGTCAAAGTGCACTCAAGCGCCAAAAGGTAAGTAAATAAATAAATAAAGACTTTGAATAAACAGGAGCGTCTTCAGAAAAGAAAAGGCCGGGCTTGTCGTTGCGGCTTTGGCATTAGCTCGTAGCTTGTGGCACCACGTGGTGAAGTTCACAGCCGGGAGACGGTGACGCGGTCAATCCGGCCGCGCGCAGAGGGACGGGGGCGCCTCCTGCAGTCGAGAGGGCAGTAAGAAAGGGCATGTTTTCCTCTGATGCAGAGGGATTAAGTTGTGCTTTCAGAGCCGGTCTCTGTGGGCCTCCAGGAAGGAGCCGGGTCCAACACAGCAGAGGCCAGAGCGGGTCAAACGGAACACAAACACAGGGCTGCAGTTCACACGAGTGAAAACAAATCCCGACTTTGACTAGATGATAATAATAAACATCCGTAAGATTAACTTATAGAAGGGAAATTTCATATCAACGTTATATGTAAAAAAAATTAACAAAATATTACAGTTACATGCAAATTATTCATGGCTGAATTATTCATCCACATCCATTTTTACCAGTGAGCCTGACAGATTGATCATTTTAGCATAAATCATTCAGCCGTGTCACATTTTCAAGAAGGGACGCCTCTAAATGTTGGATGGGGGCCATTTTTCTAATGGAGACTCTTCAACACTGAGTCATTCATTTGGACCCCTGCCCAACAGGAAACTCGGGAAGAAGCTGATATTGGAAAAATAAAAGCTCGTCGAAAGCGTGGATGTGTTAGGATACCCAAGCCGTTCGCATTTCCAAGCTGGAGGAGCAAGTGAGCTCGATGAATTTGAAAAATGTGAGAGATGAGCAAGGAGGTCAACACTTCAGCAAATTATTTCAACTTGATATTTTATAATAATGATTGAAAAGCAACTTGGATTCTATCATAAAAAATATATTAAAAATGTTGTAGATTTAATTTTCCTTTTTTTTTTTATTCTGGCAATGGTGGCCCCCCGCTTTGAAAACCATCGTTTCAGTTCGGCCCCAGGGTTCTGGTCGGGTTGGACGGAAACTGCTGTGGATCAGTAATTCCAACTCAATCTGATGATAATCTCTCAGGACGTTCACGGCTAGTTGCCGCTCTCTCTCTCTCTGGATGTTGGCGGTTAGCATGTAAGCACCAAGCGTTCAGTTTCCACTGTTGGACGGAGTCGTGCTGACAGGAGAAGTAGGGGTCGCGACCTTTTTTTTTCCACACAAAACACTAGAAGATCACACCACAGCAGAAGACAGAAAAAAAATACCACATTTACAGTACCTAAACATACCATGGAGGTGCTAAGTCAATAGTTTTGGAGCAGTTTTGGATCGTAAACTGGTTTTTACCGAGTGGATAAAGGTTGGCGTTGAAGTTGGTGCACTTGGCTTCTATGGCATTTTGCCAACTGTTCCAATCATCGGGTGCAGCATCATGAAATGAGGATTGGCCTATAATGCAGAACAAGCTTTGCATGTTCAGCCCATGCATGTGTGGCTTCTTTCTGGGTGTTGTTGCTTTTTTCCATTTCCATTTCCACAAAAAATGCATGTTAGCTTCATCAGTCGCACTTCATGGTGACGTGTGCGTGTGTGTGTTGCTCTGCAATAGACTGGCATCCTGTCCAGGATGTACTCCGCCTCTTGCGCATTGAAGAGACGGATTTGAATGGAAAAAAAACTAAATTAGAATTGAAAGTACTTGCAGGGAAATGAGGATGAACGTTCAGAGAAATGAGGATGAACGTTCAGAGCATCATTGCGTGATTAAAGGTCGAGCCAAGAGTTCCATCAATGTCTCCTCCAGTCGGGACAGATTCTGAGTCAATGCAACTTTGTGACATCATCCGGCAACACATGTGAATATGAATTAAGGATTGCACTTCCACTTGATGTAAACCCCCCGCCCCCTCCAAAAAAAAAACAAGAAAATTACTTTCTTTTTTTTCTTTTTACTTTTTTTTTTAAAGGTTTTTAGGAGGAGGCGGTTTTAACATTACAGTTTTTACGTTCTCAGAAACATCTAGAAAATGATAAAAATATATAAATATATCTTCTGCAAAAGGACTGGTGGGGTAAAAGTCTGACTTCCACTGTTTACAGCCAGTTCAAGTGTAGAAATTTAATACTAAGTGCCGACAAAGAGATTACACATTAATGAATTCCATTCATCTCGAGATTATATAAAACATTTTTAGATCTGAAAATAAATAAATAAAACCCTAAGATTCCAAATGTTTCAAACTTTCCTATGTGACAAACGTTGTCACGTGGTTTATTCTTCTCTAAGAGCGTCCCGTTTGTTTTTTCCCCTAAAATGCATCACAGCAGCGCGTTTCTCCATGCAACACACGAAGAAGCTGTGTTGATTTAAAAAAAAAAAAATAGAGGAAAAAAATCATGCTGCTTCAGGGAGACAGCTCTGTGTGTACCATGGACAGACAGAGCACCAAGCTGTGCCTCCAGTTTACGAGTAAACACACACACACACATATATAAACAGAAACGAGGGAAACAGAGCAGAAACTGAATGGTTGTGGTTGAAACCATTACCCTGACCTGAGCAAATTTTTACAGAGATGATTTTCGTGTTCTGCACACAGGTATCACAAAAACTCCAGCAGAGCGCATGTCCAACATGAGACCGCTGGAGAAAGCTGCTGCCCAATAATGAACATTTTTATATATGGGTTCCAGACCGGATTTAACCAGAGACACTTTGGCTCCCTTTAAAAAACAAAACAAAACAAACATTTTGTGCTACTTGATGGGCTTTTGAATCCAGTTTGAATGCCTCACTGTGTCAAGAACCTGATGAAATGAGTCAAACTCGCATCAGACGCTGTATGTAAAAAGGACAAACATTACATTTTGTCATGCCTCATTTAAAACTACATTTTTTATTTGTCAAATAGAAGGTAGGCTGTGCATCTGTACTCAGGGCCTCGAGTCGATGCTCTGCAGAACCACTTTCTGCTGCAATTACAGCTGCAAGTCTTATGGGTTTTTTTTTCTCCTTTTTCACCAGCCTTTCACGTCTAGAGACTGAAATCTTTGTCCATTTTTTTCTCTCCAGTGATCAGCTGTGCCGTTGCTGTGCGAATGAGGGAAATGCAACGGCTCTGAAGAGATAAGGAACTTTAACACCAAATATTTCAGCTGGTCCAATTTGGGTGAAATTCAGCGACTCGCCTGGATGACGCCGCCACGTCTGTAACAGTTCCCGCTCACCTGGGAGAGCGTTTGTGGGAAATGTTTGACTTGTCACGTCGGAACAGGAAGCGACCATCGCCAAACGCTTCCTGCAAAGGAGGACGCAGTCGTCCAATAGGTGGTAGGTCTTAGGACTTCCCTTTTAGCGGAGCTAATCCAACTGCTGTGACTGTACTAAATGTAAAAAAATGTTCAGAAAAGTTTGCAACAGTGTTTAACAAAATGCAGACGGCGAAGGTTGGAAGTCAAACCGAGCCGTCACAGAAGCTGGAAAGACACGAAAAGGAACGGAAAGAACGACGCTGTTACAAATAACATGCATCTTTTTTTTTTTTTTAATTAAATCAATTTAGCATGAAGCTGTAAGCATGTTGCATTATGCAGGCCTACTTCCACAGAGGAGTTCCTGAGCGTCTAGTTAAAACTGGCAGCTACAACACCGCTCTGTTTGCATGAGCGAACATCAGTACAAGTG